CTCTTTATTGCAACGGTAATGAGTGATCCAAGGTCAAAGAACCAAACCCAGTGGAAGGCTAGGGAAGCAGTTTTTTATTATGCCGATATCGGAACTTGTGATGGGCAGAGTTTAATTTCACTCGATACTTTTACCAATCGATTGACGTCAGCTTGTACAGCTGAGTTTCTCTCGGATAGGATGGAAGATGGGAGTGTTTTTCAATTTTTAAATTCAACCAAAGTATCTACATCTACAGGAGCCGACTTATTCCGCCATTAGAATGAAGCTTCGGAAGGACATGCACTTCATTTACAAGGAACTTTCTTTTGTAAACAATTGTGCAGAGGTTGTTGTCCGTGCCTCGGTGATTTTGAAGATGACTTCTGCTGATCAGGTTGTTGAAACGTCAGTCCCTAGCTCACCCGGACGATCACACAAGACGAACTACTGATGGCCTAATGGCGAAAGAAACAAGCTTCCAAAAAAAAAAAAACCAAAATAATGTTACACCATAAATTCGTTTTGGCATCAACATGGTTGTGAAAAAGCATTTGTGCTTCGATTCTGTGGTTCTGTTGCATTGTAGATCCCGCTGATGCAATGCGCAATTAAGTTAATCTAATAAGTTTAATCAGAAGCATATAACCCGGCCTGAACAGGGTTATATGTTACTGGTTTAATAACTTGCAAAATGTGAAGGAATATATAAAGTGCAAAATGATTCTGAAGCATGCAATACAGTTTATTATTATACATGTATAGACATGAATGGTTTACTGGAGAATACACCACTCGTAAAATTTATACGAAACTACATCCAGGATCTGATTGGTGTGTTTTCCATATCCTTACTAGTAAAGATAATGATGACATCACCCCCCTTTTCATGGTTGTTTGTGCAAACAGCCAGTTTGTCTATATAATAAAGAGAATTACATGGTGGTTGAAAGATATGGATTTAAATTCTCGCTCATTTGTAAAATATTGTTTTAACCACTTGAAAATAAAATTCATATCTTTGTGCTGTGAGAAGTTATAATATCTTCTATATATCATCTCTGGTTATATTGTGAGGCCAAAGATTTCCATACAAGCCTGAGATGATTGTTTGGTAATTTGCAAACTGTGCAAAATTAATTTTGAATTTGGATAGTGTAGTTAAGCACCTTAATCTATATCATTGATGCAAATCTTTCAAGATAGAAAACCTTCCCTCTTCCAAGAATTCAATTAATAAAATAGGACATTTCATCAGTATTCATGGAATGTTGCGTCTTTGTGAGGTTGCATGAGACTTGTATATCTGCATGTAGTCTACATTATTTTCTAACATCATATATATTATAACCCTAACTAACTTGTTGTGAACTATTTCTCCAGTATTTCACAGGAAACAGAGATCAGAACAGTATTGTCCAACATGGTCTCTACCCACGGATTAAGGCATATACCATCCGTGTTCACCCATGGGGATGGTACAGGCATATCTCCATGAGAGTGGAGTTCTATGGATGTGCAGAGGGTGAGTGTGATCACTTTTCAAGGGGACTCAAGGACAAGCATCTTTATTATGGGATTGATGGGATGCCTGCCACAAAATTCATGGCTTGAAGACTGTATTTTGGTACCATTTTCCTTGTCAGATTTATTTAATTTTTCACAATTTGCAAATTATTATGGTACTTGTTATGGTATCTTTTCACTGTAAAGCCCTTACTATTAAAAACAACATGTAGCTGCCAGTTAATATAATTGAAATTTCAGTGACAGTGAAAACTTCAAGGAGCTATGTCATGTTGATAAAATAAAAATAAGCTGCAAAGGACTTAACATATTGAGTCATGATGCCCTAAATTATGCAATCATAATTTTTTTTTTTTTTGGTTCTTGTAAATCAGTTGGCAAGAATGATTCCCAGTGGAGTACTTGGCCCATACCTGGGTATAGGGGTGCCAACAAGGGTTTGAAATCCTGACCCTAATACACTATAGACCCTACCCCATGTAGGATAACACCCTCTATTTTAAGACCCTGTTTAGGACTTCACCATAATGGTTACCTTCCATCAATGACCAGTGGATTCTGCCTCAAATTGGCATTTGTTATAAGGTTTACTATTGTTAATATAGAAGTTAGTAAGAGTTCTAATGAGTGCAATTTTTCTTCAGATCGTTGTGCCATGCCGCTTGGTTTGGAAGACAAGCGTGTACCAAATGGTCACCTCACTGCCTCCACTTACTATAACCATCACCTTTCACCCTGGCATGGTCGACTGAACCACCGCTGGTCATGGAGTGTGCGGCTCAGAAGAGTAGGACAATGGTTTCAAGTGAACTTTGTAGAGTTGATGCGCATTAAAGGCGTGGCCACTCAGGGACGGCAGGATGCAAATCAGTGGGTGAGAAGTTACACAGTCAAGTACAGCATAGATGGAATGAACTTTGTGCCCTACAAGGAAAATCGTCGTGTGAAGGTAGGTGTTGAGCTGGTCAATGTAAGAGTTGAAATAAAATTCTGTACAATTCATGTGCATACTGTATGGATTCTGGTATAAGTGTTGTCTTTTACTTGGTAGACATGACACTCTATTTCTCAGATGTTAAGTCCTAGTTAGTAAGCAACTTTGAGGATTTTTTCAAGGATCCTAAATCTAGATAGTCTCGATTAATTACATGGTAATAAAGTAGTACTTTAATGTTTTTATGGAAGGATTTGATGAGGATCTAAAAAAGATTGTCAATCTAAGCAAGGATCCCATGTATCCCATGGGCAGTAAATTAAAGATCATTAATGTTCGACATCCTTGACTTTGTCAATTACATAATTATATGTCCTTGTAGGTGTAGTTAGTGTACATGTACTTGAAAATCCTTGAAAATGTTTGTCAAAAGTGTTAAAGATTTAATATCAACTTTCTGGAAGATCTTTTATGTCCAGTTTTTTTAATAACCCCCTTTGTTAGATCTCTGAAATTGCATTGTCAAGATGTAACAGTGGCTCATTTTGCGCATTTGCTTGATGTTTGTGTACTACACCCTCGAGTCAATGATTGCATGATTTCTGAAGTTCTACAACCTCTTTCTCTGTAGCTTTTCAATGCTAACACGGACCGTCACTCAGTAGTTTATCACCAGTTCATGAGACCGTTCACTGCCATTTATGTGCGGATATATCCAAGATCTTGGTACAGCTGGATATCAATGAGGGCTGAAATTTTTGGTTGTTCAGGTATTATTTCTGAATGAATTTTAAGAATGTCTTTAAGTTTTTGGGCTTTATGTTTTTGATCTTCCGTTATTTGAATTCTTGATTTCGTTTTAAAAGCACCTGTTGCCAAATTGTTAGTTCAGAATTATAATACCTGTAAGTTTCATTGCTATTACTTTACCCATTCCAGTGTCACTGTGTAACCGCGCCCTGGGACTGCAAAATGGCCGAATCCGTAACAGCCAGATCACTGCATCCTCAGAAGTAAACCGTTACCATGCTGCTTGGCTTGGTAGACTAAAACGAGTGAAGGCTGGTCGTTACATAGGAGCCTGGTGTCCCAAGCACAGGAACCACAATCAGTGGTTCAAAGTGGACTTCCGTCGGCTAATGAAAATAACCAAAATAGCCACACAGGGAAGACATGATGCCGGTCATTGGGTCACATCATACTATTTGTCATCAAGTGTGGACAATGTACATTGGGCAATATATCGCTTCAGAAGTGCAAATCAGGTATTCAGTCGTACCTCTACAATAGTTTGTTCATCAGCAATGACAACCCCAAAGTTTTCATTTTTTCCTCAAGTTTTTTCACACATATTTACTTGAAGTGTTGCTTCTTGGCGTCACATGGCAAGCCCCACGCAAATCCAAGAAGCACCCATATCCACTTCAAGAAACGTCACTGAGAAAAACAAAGTGGGTTACAGTTGTTGTACGTTTATCCATATTTTTGGTAGTATGGTATATTATAAAGGGTTAATTTTGTTATTTGTCTCTTTATTTTCAAATAGCTCTTCCAAGCAAATCGTGATCAAAACAGCATTGTGACCAATGCAATTAATCCATCTATCAGAGCGCGCTATGTGCGTCTTAATCCGCGTGGCTGGCGTGGTTATCCATGCTTGAGGGCAGAATTTTATGGATGCCCAGTTGGTAGGTAGTCGTTTAAACGAAAAAAAAATATTTAATAGAAAATTGTCTTAATTTTTGGCATCGTAATTGGAAGGTCTAGACGAGCTTGTCTGCTTTCATGTTCACCAGTATGTCTGCATGCATGATACAGTGTAGTTAATAACTTTGTCTCTTAAATTGGGGGCAGCATTGTGTAGTGGTTAAGGGCGCGTGATTTGTGAAAAAGAGGTCTAGATTTCAATTAAATCCTCCTCCCTGCCGCCAGATGGATTTGTGTTGGTGGTCCCAGATTCAACTCCTCCAAATTTTGTAAATAGGCAAGTAGTCAGCTTCACACCAGTTGGGATTTTTAACAAGTTTCTGTTCAATTTACAATATTTGTTTGTTTTTTCAGTGTCCCAACAAGTACTGACAGTAGCGCTAAACACTTCAACACTTAATCGTTGGATGTTGGCCACTATTGAACTTTTTCCACTTTCACTTCAACACTTGAATAAACTGATTTATTTTATTTCAATTATTTATTTAAATCTTATTTTTATTCTCAAAGATCGATGTGACGTTCCACTTGGAATCCAAGATGGCCGCATCACAAGATCCATGTTCACTGCCTCATCCATGCACAACCACTATTACGGTCCTTGGAGTGCCAGACTGCAGGCGCAGAACCGAGGTTCTACCCGAGGGGGCTGGCTTGCCAAATACCGCAACACCCATCAGTGGCTGCAGATTGACTTAGGAGTAATTTCCGTTGTGAAGCGAATTGCTACCCAGGGTCGGTATGATGCGAACCAGTGGGTTACATCATATACTGTTTCCTACGGCAACAATGGAGTCAGATTTTTCCCTTACAAGCAGGCGAGAAGAACCAAGGTAAGGCAATTGCATTTCTTTAAAGCACGCACTTCTGGACTGGAACAGAAAATTAATATTTTATTTTATATTTTATAGTGTAATTGAAGCTCCAGTCGTAACATTCTGGAAATTGTTGTCAAACAATGGCATAGAAAGTTAATAGAGACTTAACGCAAAAAAAATGACGGCAACAACAGTGACAACATCGCCAAATAAAAGGCCTAATGAACGGAACAACGGATCTTCAAATGCGCTTTTGTACATTTTGAAACAGTCCTTTGCAAACTGAACAACTTGAAGTGACCAATTTCCAAGTTGTTTGGAGAATGTGGCCACTATCATAATGGCTAATTTTTGTTTTCGTATTTCTATCTGGAACTGAATAAATTCTTAGCATATT